TCAGAGGACATTTTCTGCCAAGATGCATATAATATAATTGAACTTCCTAATTGTAGTTCTGTACAATTGGTAAGTTTAAATACAGTGAAGGTCAGTGAAATGAGCATTTAACAAGAGAACAAAGGTGATAAAATGCTATGCATCAATTAGTCTTTTTAATCTATGTCAAAGCCATTTATTATTAAACACTAAGCTACAGTAACGCTGCTGTGAAACCAAGCAGCCCATTGAAATCAGTGTTACCTAAGGTTATGTTACCATAATCACCACCTCCGTTGTCAGAATTAAATGACTGTCCACACAGACAGAGGAGGTATCTTTATATGAGCATGAATATTTAATTACACAGTTCCCCACTCATTTCTATGCAATTTAGAGAGCTTAACATATTACAGGAGTTTTTTATGGGGGTTTTTCATGCCAGGCTGAAGGCAGCATATTGTGCTATCTTGTAAAATAAAAATAAATCCAAGCCAGGGGCCATTTTTGGAGTCCTCTGATCCAGCACTTGTTGCAGAACAATGGTTGCTGATGTGGGAGTTGGGAGAGATCTGCTTCACTTCCATAACACTTGCCGGGTAGCCCATGTTAGCACATTACATCAAGTCCGAGACTAAATGACAAGGCTCTCACTTCAAGAAGCCATGTGGGGGGTGGGAATAAAATGTTGATTGCCAATTTACAAATCCCTGCACGAGATTATTTAAAGAATGGTCAAAAGTTTTAAAGCAGTTGTCACACTAGGTCTGTTAGGTCGTAAAGCCCTTACAATGGCCGATAAATTCATATCCTAAAGCATCTGGTAGGGTTGCTGCGTAAATGGCTTCTGCATTTTTCCTTAGCTGTCACTAAACGAATCCCAATGTATAGTGTCATCTATTAGCAGAGGGACAGCAAGGTTCAATTAGTCATTTGTGAATTACTCTGAAATCTCTGGATGAAAAGCATTAGAAATACTAACTGCTTTCAGAAAAATGGCTCAGTGTTAGGAAGTGGTAAGCAGGAATACTAATTTCAAGCAACTTATGCCCACATTACCACAATCAACCCAGACATCTGCAGCCAGGAGACTCATTTAAAAGCAGACGAAGCATTCTGAACAAGACACCCTACTACATACTCATAAAAGAGAGTTCTCGCTCAGTAGGATGCTCTGCTCACTTGCTACTATTGAGTTTATGCAAATGAAAGCCTACTGAAAATAAAGAGAGGAAAGGATGAAAAAGGAGGAGCATGGACCTGTATCTGTCATGCAACATGAAAAGATATTCCAAAACTTCCTCACACCTAAGAACACTACATTAGTTGTTTTAAAAAAATACTTGTGAATAACAAAAATATCCCACAAGAAACCACCTTCCTAGTAACATCAGTAAGCATATGCCATAGTTTGGTATTAGAAAGCATGACAGACAAAGGAAACTTTCCCCTCCCAAATGTTTTTGCTAACAGTGGTTAAAAAAAAGGTAAGTTAGAAGCGTGTTCTCAAATATTTGGGAATTTCACTTACAGTGAAAAGGCATTTTCCTTTTTTTTTTTTGTGCACAAATATTTGCTACCTAAATCACTGTAAAGTTTGCTTTCCGAATGTAGGGGGAGTTACTACATCAGTTCAAGGTAGGTCTAGGTAATCACCACAAGTAACAAGTCTTGTTACAAACCATAAATCAAGGAAATGCCCTTACAGGCAGTGAACAGATGGATTTAGGCTTGAGATGGCCAAGGCATGCTCGTTTTATTTAGAGCACCATGCAGATGTGAGAGAGTGATGCATCACCATATATTGCAATAAATTACATTTTTCATCTATATTTGGAACCACACCTGCAACTGTATTCTCTAATCTGTCTCCCACAGGGCTAATACTGACATACCAAACTTCTAAGCATCTTAAAATAATACTTAAATAAAATTGCAAGAGAAATTTTGCCTTACTTTCCAGAGGGAGTTCACACTGCTTTAAATTCACATCTATTTAAGGAGTGACAGAGTCAGAGCTTTCTGTGCATTTATTTACTACTCTTGGAAGGCCCCCGAGCATCAGCTTTTACAGCCACAGTTTTATTAGCAACAGAAGTAGTAGATGACATTTTTGAAATTATATTAGTTAACAGGCTGTCCAAGGAATTTGGGAAGTAGCATCAAATCCGCTGGACAGCTTTGAAATCTCAGTCCATGTTTTCTATTTTCATATAGCTATGCATGGCTAGACTCATGATTTAGACACATGACATCACAGCTGGAGAAAAATCAAAGAAATAGTACCATTATCCCTTAGACAGCATGACAGGTATTGATTTTCTTCTTAAAGGCCTACATATTTCTAAAACAAATAGTTTTCCATAAAATAGGGCAAACAAAGGCTATTGGTGGTATGTTGCTCTGAAAGGGTTTCATTGGTAATTTTGTAAATAGTGCAGGACTGTGCCACTGTTGAGTAATGTGGCCTTTCTACACTCATGCTAGTAAAAAATAGGCTACTTTATGCTTAAAAACCACCCCCCAGAGATTTGTTGCCTTTCTGGATCTGAGGCTAAGCTTACACAGCGTTCTGGAAGTGTGACTGCAGTTTGTGTAGATACCTGATCAGACTTTAAACCAGCTAGCTCAAGTACTGACAGCAGTGAAGCTTCAACAGCACAGGGCTTCAATACAGACTGGATGAGCCTGCTTTGTTTTCTTCTTTGCTTGCTTTTTAAATTATTTCACTCTCTTCCGCATACTGTCCTAAACCTTCATCAGGAAGGGCAGCATATACATCTAGTAAATAAATAGATATTTTTTTCTCTCTGCACCCCTGAAGGCCTTAAAATGACCTTAATTGTGAGGACACACAGCTCCACATCCTCTAATGATATTACAAGGTTTGGGAGAAGGAGAGAACCCATTAGTATGATCTTTAAGAAGCAGGGAAGAATTTTTTTTGAAGAATCTGATTCAGTTTACATCGTAAAGGAGCAAAAACAAAACAAAACAAAACCAAAAAACAACCCCCCCCGACAGACAATGTGGAAGATGCATGGATGCACTAGTTGAACGTGCTTATGGGAATCAAAGGTTAAACTTGTAGAATCTGCTGTTGGTAATTAATGTATAGTTTTACTTTACATCCGAAAAGTATTCTGTGTGGCCAGCATGGCAGCACTCTCACCCACACCAGTCATCTTGTTTGTCAATACATTAGGGGAGAATGCAGAACTTCACAGTTCCCTTATAGGAAGTGGTTGACTTTTTTTTTTTTAAGCATGGTACAAATTTTAAAATATTCTGCTATAAATGGATCTTAAATGGATGTCTGATACCTCCCATTTCTTGTGGAATATTCACATCCCAAGATGGCATGAGATCCACACTGTGAGAGGGGAAGTAAAATCCCTCTAGCATGTCCCAGATCCCCACCCCATGGACCCTAATACTTACTGCAGGGGTCCAGATGAGCGGCAGCTGAGAAAAAATGCTGATGCGGGCTCCACAGTTCTGGAGCTGCCTGAGCCTGCGAATCAGCAAATGGCAGTGGCAGAGCTCCGGAGAGGCGCGGGCTGCTCAAAAAGCAGCCGGGAACATAGCTGGGAGGCTGGCAGGAGAAGACGGGATGCCAGCCGGGAGACGCTGCCTGCAGAGCTGGGATGCCCAAGCACCAAGTGCGGGGGAGCGGAGCCGAGCGTCTGCTGGAAGACTCCAGCAGACGGGACAAGAAACACCAGCCTCAGAAACCGAGAAAAGCCTGGGAGCGACACTGCAGCCCCATTAGGGAGCCCAGGTACCGTGGCTGGGAATGGCAGCAGGGAATTGCTAGCCCTCTCTGGCAGCTCACCGAGGAGGAAGACGCAGCTGGCTGTGCAGTCCTGCATGGGAACTACGAGCCCCACCAGTTTGGGAGGAACAGGAAACCGACTACAGGTCAGCTGGGACCCAGGGGTGGTCACACTGGAAAGACTGACCAAGGTGGGGCACAGGGTGGATGCCTGTCCTCACAACTACTAGGAGGGAAGGGACAGACGAGTTCCCCTATCCCCACCCAAGTGGCCAAGTGGACACTGGGAGACAGAATCCCAGGAGTCCATCGGCAGATGCCAGATGCCAGACACTTTCAGTTGAGTTTTCTTAGTTACAGTTAGCCCCAAGCTGGGGCAGGTTTAGTTGCCCGAGCCAGTCCGAACTTGAGAGACCAACCACGGGAAGATTTTTCTGGCTGGGAAGACCAGACCAGTCTCAAGACGGGTGGCGTGGATGACATTATCTAGGAGAAGACCTGCAGGGTGCAGCATTCGCCCAGGCCACGGATGTGGTAAGGGTGGTGTAAAGGGGAGGTTTTGGAGCCCCACTAAGACAGATCAGGGTTGAGACCCCTTTGTCTTGGGGCCACCTACAGGGAACTGCCTCCCCAATAACGAACAAAGACGTGGCAGGCAAGTAGGAGCAGCACCCGAACCATCTAGGTGGCACCAGAGCCCGATCTCACCCTGACGTTGCTTGGGGACAAGGCACCTATCAAGAAGGGGCTGAAGCCCTACAATATCTACAAGCGACACACACCCACATACAAAAAAAATTACATTTACTCAAGCATACCAGGAAGCCAAAACTCCTAACCCACAGTGTGGTCTGCATTAGGGATGTTTTTGAAAAAGCAGGGCATGACTCAAGAAAAAAAATCCACGTTCAAGTCAGGTGCCTTAATTCCAACCAATTTAAAAATAGAGCTGTTCCTCTATGAAAGGGCTGTGCAAGACATACCCAAAAAGGAGCTATGAAACAAGATGACACTTTGTCCTTTAGGACAGCAGCCTAAAGCAGAAGGGAGACCATAACAGGGTGTCTACTTCCACAAATACATTTCTATGAGACTGTTTGACAAACATATTGTTATTTATCTCTTGTTAAATACATCTCAGAAGGACTTTTCCTTTTTTATTTATTTAGAAAAGAGTGGAAAATGGGTGTTTCATTTCAGCTATCTTATACTATGTTCTAGCACAAAATACATAAAATGCACTTACTTCATCTCTATAAAGAGGACTTGTATAATACATTATATCCATTGCACTGCTGTTCAGCATATCTCTTAAACCACGTACTTTATCAGGAGTAATGGAGTCAACAGTGTCTAAAAAAGAAAGAAGCCCAAGTGTTATATTCAAAATCACAATAAAACCCCATGATAAATGTAGATGAAGACAATGTGGATAAATGAAAACATGGGAAGATGTGTCTGATAACCACTTTAGCAAATTTAAGTAATGGAAAATCCAAAGGAGTTAAGTGCTGATATTAATGCTTCAAATAAATCCAAGCATCAGCTCTCCTCAAACAGAAGACAAATACGGATTTGGCTTGACCTAAACAGAATAACATTTCAGTGCAAGTCATTATTTTATTAGTACTTGTAGAAGTCTAGAAAATTGTATTTTCAGTGACTCTACCTCCATCAAGAGCAAGTTTAGATCTCCATTCAACAGGTAGGAACTCAACATGTGTTGCAAGATTGGAAAAGTACTTTTCTTCTATTTTTCTTGCAGTATCACGCATCCTGAAAAATTAAAATGTGTATTTTAACTGAATTGTATGCATTACATAAAATAAAAGTTAACACATGTCAGATTAAAAGTGACCTGATGTACAGGCATGATAACTTGCTCATATTATATCATTCAACTTTAATGATATGCATCATTATTAATATACATGTTTATTTTTACATCTAAATACAATGTCACCTGAACATTTTTACTGGTCTAAACTGTCATGTAATAAAAACTTTTTGTATCATCTGTGCAAAAGAGCGAGTTTTAGGAACTTCTATTGTGTTACAGTATGGGGCTGATATAAAACACATTCATGCCAAAGAAAGTCTTCCCATTAAGGTAAATGGACTGGGAATTACGTTTGAAGCGCTAAATCCTGGTCTCATTGATTCATGAAAGTTTTGCCATCATTTTCAGTGGTTCAGGATTTTGCCCCAAGTGTGTAATCCACTACATAAAGCAGCCAGCTAATTTAGCTTTTTAGAGTATATAACAATTACAACATGACTGAACGGAGTATGAAACGGAGGAGTTAGCTTCTTCTAACAGGAAGGTGACTCCTAGAGAGGTCAGAAGCTTGACAGTTCATAGAGCAAGCAACAGGAGCATTTATTAGTTACAGCAGAACAAACGGCTCACTAAGCTGCTAAAAACTTCTTTTCCTTTTTTAAAACTTGTTTAAACATAACTTTAAAAAGGCACACAGATACTTAACTTGAAATGTAAGTGACTCTAGAGAAATCCAAGTATTTTTAGGAACTAAATGTGTCAAACTCCCCCCATCTGCTGCTTTGGGGAAAGGGACTTTAAATTTTTATTTTATTTTTTTTAAAGAGAGAAAATAGAAGTCTCCCTCTGCTGCTGTGACAAATCATCCAAAAAAGGGAAGCTAAGACTGCAAATAAGATGAGACTAAAGCCATTAAAAATTCTATGAAATAAGAAAATTGTATTTTTCTCAGATGTCTTTCCACTAGCTGTCTCGTGTCCAACTGATAACGTTAGCATTTTTTCCAAAAAGTAATGCGACGTCAGTACTCCTTTTGGTAAAAAATGTTAAAACAGTTGAGCTCGTTGCCCCATTACAGACAGAATGTTTTGAAAAAGAAGAAATGAGACTAAATCCAGGGGTGCAACCATATTTGCTTCTATTTTCAAAGCAAAGTGCTTTTAATGCCTTGATCTGGACCAATGCTGTCTTTCCAGCCTTGTCCACAGCTTGGGAACTTCAGGGAAAGAAGGGGGCCAACAATCCAAATGGTGCAACATTAGCACTGCAGAGCTGTGGGGTAGGCAAGAAGGTCAAACACAGTTCAGGTTCCTGCCACTTCCTTCTTTTTGGAAGTCAACTCATTTATTACCAGCCAGAAGCTTGCTTGCCGCCACCACCGCAGGGAAGGCTGGTTCAGACGACCCGGCAGGAATATCCATGAGATTCTTCCTTAAGAAAGTTTCCTATTACAAATGTTGCCTATCCCTGATAACGCTGCATCATGGATTTAGTTATTCCTGCTTTACAGGTGGGTCTGAAGGAGTTTTATGTCGCATGTGGGAAGTCAGGAGCCGCTGCCACAGATCAGGAAACCAGGTCCTCCAACCCCAGTTGTACCTTAGCTCTACCACTAGCAGGTCCCTGAAGGCCATGGGGAAACTCTGGGCAAATCTCTCCCACTTTCCTGCTTTGTATTGCACGTACAAATATCTACCTAATTCACTGCAGATGCCAGGAGAGACTAGCAGATGACAACAGTGCTTGGGAAAAAGAGTACTCTTTGTGAATGTATGCTTGCCAATTGTTTTTAAAAGAGCACGCCTTTCCCAAAATGATTATACTTCTCCAAAATGGGAAAGCTTTTGACTTCAACAGCAGCTGACTGAAGTTTAGGCCATTTGACTGAAAGGATTTTTTTAAGAGATGGAGGGGAAACAGGAACTTTCCCACCCTCATTTAAAATTATTACTGCTGCGCTGGCTAAACAACCTGCACTGCCATTTTTAAAGCTTGGGCTGCGGGGCAAGTGCTTGCAAGGTAAAGCAGAGTGCTCAGCACGCAAGAGAAGGAAACGGATGAGTAACAGGCAAAAGGGCTCATGTACATGTAAGGAGTCTTCTTGACGGAGCCCAAAGGAAGCTCCATCAATTCTCAGATGGATGGTCCCCTCTCATCCCCGATCCACCCTGCGCAAGGCCAAAACAGCAATGAGACTGGGTAAACACGGAGGAAAGGCAAGGGAAGGGAAGAGAAGGGAATCCTCAGATTTCTTAGGCATGTCACGAAGGGGAGGACAAGCGAAGAGATACAGAGACAGCGACAATACATACCATGACCTTACATGCAAACTGACCTTACGCTGGCAATCAGGGGAAAACCCCCAAAACCCTATGTCATTTCTCGAAAGATATTTTAGAAGAAACTCACATGAGCCTAACTTCTCCCCCAATGAATCTCCATTTTACAGTTCAAGACGAGTGGGAAATTCAATATATATTGAATTTACTATATACCCAGGGGGAGTTCTTTAAAGGGTGTGTATGTGTGTGGATATATCTATATGTGAATGTATATAAACTGGTTTTTAATTATATACACACATGCCCTCTTAATTGTTATTTTAAAATAAAATTTAAAAAAATTATCTAGCTATCTAAGGGTAGGACATGTGTGTATATAATTAAAAAACAATTTATACACATTCACATATACATATATCCATATACACCCCCCCCCTTTAAAGGGCTTCCCCCAAGTAACCAAGACAAAAGAAAAAACGCCTGATTGAATAAAAAGGTGATTGTACAGCACAAGACAGGAAATTTAAGCTCCTAAAATCTAAAGCAGGCAGGCTAGGAAACACCAACACTTGTTAGGCAGAGACAGAGGTTTCCATTACCACTGGGAAACAAAGCGGTCAGTGGCCCACTAACACCAAGACCGATAACAACCAGACAGGAAGCAGTCCGCTCCTCAACTCAAACTGGTCGAAGCACAGAAGCTGTACGAATGCATAACGCACGGGATTTCCACACAATAAAAACAACGAGCTGGGAAAGCAGAGTCACACCTTCGGAAAAGAACCAAGTCCTAACAGAAGAGGAAGAAGGTAAAAGCTTCACACCGTTGTAAACATCAAAACAGCACGACAACACACATTATAAACAGGTATAAAGTTGACTTAACTGAAACAGTATATCAGAGCCCTTTAAGAGTGGGATGAAACATCTCCAAATACTGCAGCCTTTTTTTGATCAATTAAATTACTAACCTTTGTTGGGTTTTTAAAGATGTCTAGTTGTCAGATAAAATTCACCCAAAAGCTTGGAAGGTCATGGGACCACAAAAGCCAATCTCATCTCACGTATCCGTGGCTCTTCTTTCTTTTCAGAAGCAATGGGGTATAGACTAGGCAAACTGGACCTTCCCATCATGGAATACTGAGTTTCCACAGGTGCGCAGGGCTCTAGTCCTGTTTGGAAGGGTTTGGCATATTACTAAAACCACCCTTGGGCAAGTTGATGATGAGGATTTCCTAACAGTCTCCATTTCAAAAACAAAGCAGCTGCATTTGGAGAAGCAGTCCTACTAGGAGCTCTCTCAACCCTTTAGCAGAGTACCCTGTGTCCCCACCGTGTGCCCCTTTACGTTTTCCACAAGGACCAGCCAAGCACCACTCCAGTTTCATCTCTGTTGCTAGCTCTCTCTCGATTCCACTTCATCTTGTCCAGTCTCCTGGAACAGGTCCAGACTTTCTGTTGTAATGGATGAAAGGCAAACTTTTCAACAGCTCCTGGGTGATTCAGAAGCCTAAAAATGCTGTTGGATACAGCCTCTGGAGCAAGCCCAAGAATACTGCCAAGGCTGGCCCATGTACACCCAAATCTGCACACATCTGCACCTGCGAATTAGCCAGAAGAGACGGCTCAGGCACACCCCCAGCACATGTTCCCTGGTTTTCCACATCTGGAGAAACAGGACATGGCCCACAGGACAGGGCTGCTCAGATGCATCCAAGTTGCCTACTTCGTGGGTTCATCTTATTTCAGCAGTGCTCCAGGACTCACTCAAGAGGCCATACAGACACAGCCTATGACTTTTTTTTTTTTTTTTTTTTTTTTTTTTTTTTTTTTTTTTTTTTTTTTTTTGAAGACAGACTCGGGCACTTTTAAACCTAAGTCTCATTACAACTACAGATCCTACGACATGTTCAAAAACTTTAATATAAGTTAGAAGCCCAGAATACTCACTTCATGGAAAACACAGCTGGTCCCTCAGCCACTGCAGAGGAGTTGCATTTTATATCTATATCTATATAGATAGGGATAGATATATATAGATAGAGAGATATATAGTGTAACAGTATTTTCTCTGTGTTAAGGCTATGTATGCAATGAAGACACATGAAAAAAATACAGAGATAACAAAACTACAATCCCTTTGTCTGTATGGGTCTTCCTCGGATCTCAGATTATAAATATGCTAGCACTAGAGTCTCCTAAATTTCTATTGGTTTTAATTTCTACCATTGCATTTCAAATTAAATATATTACAACCAAGTTCTTCAAAATGGGTTCAGGTATATTTCTTAGTTACTTTGATGCGTCAGATAACTGCACAGCAACTACAGTAATACATATATAGGCTACTGACCAGTAGAGAAGAAAAAGAATACACTATAAGACACATTACAACTAGAAATAGAACTGTTAACCTTTTTTTGTCCCCTCTGCTAGGAATTGCTGTACTAGCCATGTTAATGTTGTCAGTGCACACAAGATCAAGACAAGCCCTCATTCTACTCTAGCAGCCGTACCGTGCAAAGGATGCTCGGTTTTCTCACATACTGAAGTAGACTAGCAAAACATTATGTACTCAACACAAGGTCCCAATGAGCATCTTCCACTTATGACCAATTTAATACCTTTTGGCCAAAAGAAAAATTTGTTCAAGTTATCCTTATGACCCCTGTAGGAGGTACGTCTGTACATGTATTATTATCAGTGTAGCTTTT